GCACATGTTATTCTCTCCACATCCCTGGCGTTTCCATGGGTACTGGGATCTAAACTTAGGCTTTATCCTTGTGTAATAATCATTTTGCTCACTGAGTTGTCTCCCAAGCCTTGGCTTCCTAGTAATAGACATCAAACCTCTTCAAGTCCCTGCACCTTAGGTATGCCTGACAACTCCTCCAACATGAGAATGTTTCTTTTTTTCTTATATCATAAATTTAAACAACTTCCACAGGGGGGACAATAAAAAGAACTGGCTGGCTTAACATAAGACAGGTGATGTGCATCTAGATTCTCTCTACCTCTGTCAACACAAACACACACACACATGGACACACACATGTGAATGCACACACATGCGCGCACGCACACACACATTTTTCAAGTTTTATTGACTTTATTCATGGATGCTTTGTCTTGAATTGGCTGGTTCCCCGAGCTCCAATTATTTGCTTTTTTTTATTTATTTGAAACAGGGTCTTGCTATGGAGCCAGGCTGGCCTAGAACTTACCAGCATATGCTCCCTGCCTAGCTTCAACTGTTTTGAGTGACTAGAGAATAGTTCATCTTATTCATGGGTCAAAGGCTACGTAATAATTTATGTTCGCACTGTGGGCCTGTAGGATCTTCTGTATTAGGGAAAACCCATCTATCTTCCCCTAAAGGACATGGTGGGGCTTTTTATTTATATTTATTTTATTTTTTATGACTATGACTAGGTTTTTGGTTTATCGATTGGTTTGGTTTTGAGAATTTTTTTTTTTTGATCATGGTTTTTACGTGAGGATGTCATTTTGCTTTGCTTTGAAAAATATCACATTCATCTTGCCAGCTATCAGGACACCGGTTCTCTATTGCAATCAAGGCCCGCCGTTAGAAGCCAGCAGGGCAAGGGTGGCCACCTGTTGATGGAAAATGCATTGCTCTCGTTTCACTTGGGCTCTGATGAAGAACAGCATGAAAGGAAAAGAGAAATCTTATTATAATTCCCACAAATGTAATCCCTAAGCTTATTAGCATAATATTTGCATCATTGCTGTTCCCTTTGTTATTTCAGAACCTCTTTTAACATGGGTCATTGACTGTGGGCTAGTATACATTTTGCTTCATTATAATTTGCATTAGATATATTTAAAGCCTTTCCATTTGATCAAGGTTCCACATTTTTTTTTAATTTAGAAGTTCCAAACATCAAACATTTTGAAACCCCATGGATGGTATATCCTAGCCCTCTAAACGAAGTGATGTCAGCAAACAGCTAGAGTTTGACAATCCTCGGCGGAACCAATTTCAGCTCATTTCAAAGAGGAGAAATAGTTTCCATATTTCATAGAAAGGGTCTGCTAATAAACATAATAGAGAAACTTAGAAGGACAATTCCTCTTCGCCAAGCTTCCAGAACAAATATGTGTGTGTTGTGTATATTGAGAAGACAAGCAAACAGCATACACTTTGATAAACCATACTTTATATAAATCAAAGAGCAAAAACCAAGAGTCACAATTGCCTGAAACCAACATCTTATAAATATGATGGTTCGAGAATATTCAACTGAATAAATTCCATGCTCAGCAGCCAGCAACACTTGTGCAAAACAACAGCTCCCAGGCGACCTGCAGCAATGCTTTTAGTCACCTTTGAGCCATGCGTCTGTGCGTTCAGTAGTTACACATTCTAAGCTAGGTGCTTGGAAGTAACTCATTTAAGATACAAAATGAAACAAAAACAACAAAACAAAACAAACTCTATGGGAGTTAGGAAAGACACCGGTTAGGAGGTATTTAAAGGCAAGTGACAGAAAATCAAGAGAGGTTGACTGTGACGCAAACCTCAGAGATATTTATATTATCTTACTTAAGCAGAAGGCTGGAGGTAATTAGTTCCAGAGATGGTTCCAGTGACTCAGTGAGGCACAAGGAGGCAGATTATTTTTATGTTTCTATGCTTCAATCATTGAGCATTGTATTTCCTTCCCCCAGCTTGCCACTCTTGGTTGTAAGACGAGGGTCATAATGTCTGACTTTGAGTCTATAGTCACAGCAGTGAAGAATGGGAAACGGAAACTCTAGAGATTCTATTGTTTTATCTGAAAAAAATATTTTTTAGAAGTCAGGAAACAAGATATCTTTTCCAGATGTGTCTCAGCGGTCTGCTCTTACGCCATAATGTTAGTGGTACCACGTGGCCACACCTGTCTGTAATGGAGCCCCTCCATGCAAGCCGGGCAGGTGCTCTACACGGGTTATATCCCAAGTCCTTATAGGGCAGCGTTCTAACTTCTGTCGTAGGAAGGAGAAAGGCGAAAGCAGGTGGAAATGACTTACACCCCAGCTAACAGACAGACCCATGCAGTCTGAAATTCCAGTAGGGCCTCACAGCCTGTAACAACTCGATGACTTGATAGTCACCTATTCATTCATTCAGGAAAGATTTACTTGAGAGCTTTCTCTGGGCTATGCCCTGAAGGAATTCTAGTTAATAAGGCAGACATAGCCCCTGCTTCCAAGACACTGAAGATCCAAAAGGGAAGCAAACACAGGGCAATAAAAATAATGGTAATAAAATATGGTGATTTGCTATAATTATCTGATTTTAATGATCCACCCCAAATCCCATCAAACCCCAAATCCCGTTACAGCAGGTTAACCTGCAGTTTAGAAATGTAGAGTATATTAGCAACTGGACATAGGGATTTAAAAATACCTTATTCATGTAACTGAGCTAACAAGCAACTGACTTGCTAATATGTTTCAATCAACTGACTTGTTGATATGTTTCAACCAACTGATTGCTAATATGTTTCAACCAACTGATTGCTAATATGTTTCAACCAACTGATTGCTAATACGTTTCAACCAACTGATTGCTAATATGTTTCAACCAACTGATTGCTAATATGTTTCAACCAACTGATTGCTAATATGTTTCAACTTACTGACTTGTTAATTTGTTTCAACCAACTGACTCCCTGCTATGTTTCAAGCACACACTTTAAACGTAGGTGTTACAATTAGGCTTATCTGCAGTTCCAGAGACTGGTTTTAGGCGATTTTCATTTTCAACTGGTAGCTCCCAGCTCCTCCACTGTGCGGAGAACCCAGGCACTGACAAGGTAGACCACAATTTACCAGGCTGAGGCCTAATCCTCTGTGGCTCTAACTTTGGCCTCGGGCTATGTTTCTCCACGGACCAGGGTACGTGGCTAGGCAGTGAGTGTGGCTGAGGGCCAGCACAGGAGCCTGGAGCTATTGCTCAGCATCCATGGGTAACATTTGGACACACTGGAGCTTCTGGAAAATTCAGACAGCAAAGTCTCAGCTCTCAGAAAAAGCCGTCAATGAACTCCACCAGGCCCAAACAACGGCTGGGCCACTTGTGGCAACATAAAAGGCCAGCACCCCAGCCATGAGTAATGTGCTCTTGGCAGCTGTTAAAAGGGGCCTAAAACCCCACTGGCTCCCAGATCCAGCTGGACAGGCCAGGTGCAGGCTGACAGGAGAACTGTGTTGATTCTAAAGGCCAGAGATGTTATTTTGAGGTTTGACTGTTTATGTCTCATTACTGCTAATTTCCATGAGTTTGCAGACTTTTTTTTTCTGACAACCCCCAGGCCGCGGTGGAGAAATTCATCTACACATGAAGGCTATTCACGAAGTCACCTCCCCAGCCCCCCAGTTTTTGTTTGATGAGAGCCATTTCTGGGAACACAACAATCTTCATGTGGAAATTTCTTAAACAATTTTAGCTTGGGTTTGTGGGTCTCTCTCTGAAGTCACTTACTGGGTATGAGTGGAGCTGGCCTGGGACACATTTAAACAGTTTTTACCTTCTAAGTCTCCTTCCTTTGGAATGGTAACTTTTAAGATAGTGATCTGTGCTGTTATAGTTAGAACACTCAATGGGGAAAAATTCAAATTTAGTTGAAAAGGAGGGGGGGGGGTAAAATAAGTAAAACTTTATACATAGGATTATATGTGAAAGCAGTGTGCAGGAAAGAAGGGGCTCTTTCCTCAGGCATTCTAGTCTGTTCCCACACTGCCGTCCTCTGTGTGGGCCTCAAACCTCACGGCTCCTCACTCTCTCCAAAGCTACCTTCCTTTGTTTTTAATAAAAACTTTCCTAGCTTTTATGTTCGTGAAAAATTCTGAACATATTCAAAGGAAGCAGAACATAGATGCATTCACCTCCCTGCTTCAACTTCATTGCTATTTATCTTGTGTGTGTGTTAAAGTAAGGTAAGGTTTATTCTTTCATTTATTTAAGTGTACTTTGTGTATGTGTTATATATCTGTGTGCATGTATGTGGAAGGGCACTCACCAGTGCAGGCAGGTGTGGAGGTCAGAGGGAAATGTAGGGGTGTCTTTCCTCAGTGGCTCCCCACTATGGCCCTCACTGAACCTGACCAACCTTTCCAGGTTAAACTAGTGAGCTACTAGGGTCAACTTGACCTGCCGGTGCTGTGGTTGCAGACACATGCTGCTATGTCCCACTTTTATGTAGGTGTTGGAGAACTGAATTGCAGTCTTCACCCTGCATTTTACACACCCAGCCATCCCCTCATCCTGTCTTACAGTTTTGAAGGTGATTTCCACCCGCAGCTCTTGGCTACACAAGTGTGGCAAATGGCTACATCAATTATACATGCAATTTCCACACCATCACAATAGTTATTTTCATGACCCAGAGAAAATCGCTGATGGAGTACTGTCCTACTCAGTCTTCTCAGACAATCATTGGATCATTGGTCTGATATATATATATATATATATATACATATACATATACACTCATATATATATATATTTAATGCACACTTAAGTAAGATAACTTGTTTCTTCCCCCTTGGAGATTAAATGAGTGAATGCATATAAGCCTGGCCCACAGAAAGTACAATAGCATTTAATATTAGCTATGGGTGATTCCTCTGGACAGGGTTGCATAGGGAGGAAGGAGTACAGAAGAGGCATTGAGCCTTCCATCTTTCTCTGCACCCCTGCAGATGCTCACTGAGTCCTCAGACCTGCACCCCTGCAGATGCTCACTGAGTCCTCAGACCTGCACCCCTGCAGATGCTCACTGACACCTCAGACCTGCTCACCCCTGCAGATGCTCACTGAGTCCTCAGACCCAAGGGTAAGACACCATGGGCTCCATTCTTGGTGTTTGGCAAGGGTTCCGTAGATTAACCAGAACAGGGTAGGAGGGTTTCTGACTAGTCAGATGGCATATAAACAGTAAAATAGTGCTTTCTTAGGTCAACATGATGACTTGAAGGGTAAAGATGCTTGCTGCCAAGTCAGACATTCTGATTTTGGTCCTCAGAACTCACAAGGTGGAAACCTCCTCAAGCACCAATAGAAACACATACCCACCCACCCACCCCACAAACACAAATCAGTTAGTGTAAAAAAAATTACTTCTCACAGTTATAGAGGCCTTCAAGTCCAAAACTAAAAGATTAATAAATTCAGTATCTGTTAAGGAACCACTTCCTGATGTGACCAGAAAGGGCAAAGGAAGTCATTACAGCTTGTTGTGCAACAGTTTCTGGGATTGAAACCTTTCATCCTTGAGGAAGCGTCTTAAACAGAGACATAAAAAACTCCCCATAGCTTCAGGAAGTCCCAGAAGCTGACCAGATTCTCTAGGCCCCTCCCTGCCAGAGTAAGCAATAGAGTGTCTCTCAGATTTGGAAGGAGGCTGAGCTGCAGAGAAGATGCAAACAAGACCAGCAGCTGCCTGGGAGAAGCAGAGACACACCAAGCTGCCTCGCAGAGGTTTAGACCCCCTGAGGAACCTAGAAATGACAGTCTTTAACCTGCTGATTTGCCTACAGGTGTGCAGTGTGCTCCAGGTTCCCAGCTTTGTGAGCTGTCACCCATGCCGGGGTGGGCCTTGGTGATGCAGCTGTCTTTGAGTCATTTCTGCTCCTGGAGGTAACCCCTGGAAGTAACCCCAATAAAATTTATTGGCTCTCCAAGTTGGACTTTGGTGATATCTGTACTTTGGTCTGTCATAGGCTATCTATCTGGGGAGAGCAGACATGTATATTGTGTCTTCCCAGGAAGTTTTGTCACACAACAGGGTCCCTTTCAAAAGGGAACTAACTAACCACATTCATGAAGGCCTTATTCTCAGGATCCAATCTTCTCTTAAAGGCCCCACTAACGGATACCATCCCGTTGGGGGTAAGAATGTCGAGACAGTAATGGGGTAGGGACACAAACATTCTGTGTACTACAGATGAGAAGCCTTCCTGTGAACCCCGTTCCTGGAATGTGATCTACATTGATGTTCTTTTTGAAAACATCACAATGAGCCCAGGGGTGTGGTGCACACCTTTAATCCCAGCACTCAGGAGGAAGAAGCAGGAAGATGTGTGAGTTCCAGGTCAGCCTGGTCCATAGTGAGTTCCCTAACAAACAAAAGCCAACAGACGGCTGTGTTATCTGCTAGTTACTCAAGGCAGGAGAGCAATGCCCTAAATACTCACTAAAACTTGCTGTAGCCGAGACTATGCATTTCAGCAGGCCTTTGGAATAGTGAGCCTGCCATGACCGTCGTACTTGGATTCTCGTCTATTTTCTTTTTAAAATAATTTTAGGTCATTTTATTTTATGTGTGTGATGATTTGCTCACATGTATATATGACACATGTGTGTGTCTGAGCCTGTGGAGATCCGAAGAGGGTGTCGTTTGCCCTAAAACTGGAGTTATGGATGATTGTGAGCATCCATCTAGGTTCTGAGAATCAACCTGGGTCCTCTTTACGAACAAGTGTCCTCAACTGCTGAGCCATCTCTCAGTCCCTCCGTCTATTTCCTGGTGTCGCCATGTATCGCATCCCATTGCTCACCCTGCTCCAGCTGCAGCGGGCATCTCTCTAGTCCTCTGTCCCAACAAGCTCCTGCCGGCTCACAGCCTGCATGGGCAGTTGCTGGTGCCTCTCTTAGCCCTACTCCCCCCTCCCACAGGCCTTCCCTCCCACAGGCCTGCCCCCTTGGGCTCTCCCGCATCAGCCCTACTTCCCTTCCCGC